GAGATTGATAATATATTTAAATATTTCCCTTTGAAATTAGAAAATTGAAAGTTATATAATGTTAAAATTGGATTTATCAAGGTGGTTTTGGGGCCAACTTTAAATTTGTTTACATTGATAATAAAGTAGTTTAAGTTGTATGCACACTTTGACTTATCTGTAGCAATGAACATTAACTTCACAAAAAATGTAAAGAAAGGTACCATTAGTATTGCAATAAATCACATGAGGTATGATAATTATGTGTACAATCTTTGGTCGGTGGTACAGCTTACGAGTTCCTTTAGCAACTTCTGTGAAGAAATTGTCTCACCGCTCTAGGTTGAGGAGGAACGACAATCAGAGTAACAGACTAATTTTCCATTTCAGTTGCTTTGTCTAACTTTTCTGATATTCTGCCCAGCTCATTGCTACCATAATGAGTAGAATTTACTAGTAACAAATATCACTGTAGCTCTTATTTTTGGTATTTGGTATTTTTTAATTAATATTTTTTAAATATTTTTATTTTGGAATAACTGCAAAAAAATGTAGTAATAAAAAGAATGCATGCATGGTAAATAGTCGTACAAAGGCAAATATTATGCCAAACACAGCAGTTAATAATAAAATAGATAAACTTAACCCAAGATTGCTTCCTTTGTTATGTAAAATACAAAGAAATTTTGCAAACACAAATATAGTATTATTCCCAAGATCTGTGATATTTGGAATAGAGGAAAACCACTATTCACAAAACTGAATTATATATATTTCAGTAAAGATGTAAAGTACCCTTAATTTAACAAGACAGAAACTGTCCCAATTGCTAGACCTGTAACAAATTGGACACACCAATATGTGATTCGGTCATATTTGGTTCATTTAAGCTTAACAAAGCTTGTGAAAGGAAGCAAGTTTTCCAAAAATTTTCTTTGATATTTGTATCAATATTTAAAAGTATGAGGGTTAAAATATTTGTAAAGAAATTATATATATAAAATAAAGATAGACCTGTCTTTGGCTCTTATGTAGAAATTGTTATTGAATTGTGGTGATTACTTATTGATGCTAGTTTTGACATGTACATATGTGCAAAGAAACATGTTTAAAAAGTAAATGTGCATTTGAAAAATATAATACTTTTTCAAAATTATCTTGTATTTTAATGTATTTAAGCACGGTTTTGAAAAAAATGAAAATATTGGCTAACTTAAAAAAAATTTTAAAAGAACTAGTTACGATTATCAATCTGAAAATTAAGTTCGTAAAGGTTGTTACATATATATTTGAATAACTAAAAAATCATAAGTTACATCAACACCATAGAACTCCTATAATTTATCGAGCTTAGTAACTAAGATGTATTTTAGTTTAAAAAAATATGAAATTTCTACCAGACTAAAGACACGCCCTACCTCCTTGAAATATTAGTTCAAAAGAAAGAAATGGCTGAGAAAGCCACTAGGGGACATTCTGAGTTTCCGATTGGTTATTCATGTCATATGTAGAAGTAAGCGTATATAAGGGAGCGTTTCCAAAAATGAAAAGAGGTGGGCGGGGTGCCACCGTGTTTGATTTATTGCATGAGCAATATCTTGGCAAATAAGAAAGATAAGACCTTATTTTATATTCTAGCTTGTTAATATTTGTAATTTGAGTTCCTAATTCGTATGAAACTATAAACTTTGTATTTTGACATCACAAAAATCTAATTTGAACCAGTGCTGCATTCAACATACCATGTGACACACAGATATTGATGTTTAACTGTGTTTAATAATATTTACTTTTAAATTAAGAAATTGAGTAATGTATAATACTAAAATTTCAATTATAATCTACAGTTTGATACCAAACTTATTGACATAAATTCATGAAATAATAGTTCATTGAAATTTTGAATGCGAGTCAACAAAGGAGATGACATGGTCTTTCACCAGCGACCCGTCTTGAAAGGGTTAAAGGCTTTATGCTATTGCTAAAGATACAGGTAGAATTGCAAAAAACAAAGTACAATAACTCTGGTGATACAAGGTACTTGAAGGTTAATAAATGCCATGCATCAAAAGAAATCAGTAACCCATATTTTTACATATGTCATATCTATTTTAAAGTCATGTTTCCTTATTTCCTTACTGAATACTTGTATGTTTTTGTCACTCTAACCATACTTGTAATTTTATCTTATGAAAATCATGCAAATTATCATTAAAAAACTTTTACATCAATTTAGACAAGTTAGTATCTGTGGTATCTGCCTATCAAACTTGTTTTCAATAACAGTGAAGTATACATATGTTCCTGCCCTCAATTTTAATTGTGTAATGTTGATAATTGGGTAGGTCCTATTTACCTGTGTTTTCAAAGTAAGTGATGAAGAGCAAAATAAGATATTATGACTTAAGTTGTACTGAAATTCTCTTGTTCCCCCACTTAAGTAAATTCATCAGATTGTTATTAGAATACCTAATATATGACTAGGAAAATGTATATTGGAAATTCAGTCTTGCTCTTCTTGGTGATGTTTATAGTATTTGGATATGTATAGTAATTTTTCATGTCAGATGATCTCTCTCGCTCGTGCATATGTACATACATACACACACACACACACACACACACACACACACACACACACACACACACACACACACACAAAGCCTGACAAGATGAGCTGGTAACAAATGATTAGAATATTTTTATCTTCTTTTAAGCATTTGTTAAAAGTTTTATTGGAATATTTTTAGGGACTGGAACTGGAGTTGTAATTAACACAGGAGATAGGACAGTAATGGGTCGAATTGCCAACTTAGCTTCTGGACTGGAAATGGGAGACACTCCTATAGCCAGAGAAATTGCCCACTTCATCCATATAATTACTGGTGTTGCTGTCTTTCTTGGTGTCAGTTTTTTCGTCGTTGCCTTTATTCTTGGATACCACTGGCTTGATGCTGTCATCTTTTTGATTGGCATTATTGTTGCTAATGTTCCTGAAGGTCTGCTTGCTACTGTGACTGTAAGTAATTTATAAAAAATCAATATATATGAAGTATTTTTTGAAGAAAATTAGTCATATGTAATGTGCACTTTGTCTTGAAATATGGTAAATTTATCTCGTGGAAATGTATCTTCCACTATGCTGATGTTACCTTTCAAGTAAAAAATCAGTACCTGTAATATAACTGGGCAACATTTTTTCAGACTGGTATGTCTTTTGAGGTTTAAAACATTTAAAATTTGCAAGCCTTATATATGAATATTGTAATTACTACATGTGATAGAAGGATAGTTAGTTTGTAATTGGTCAGCCTTTAGCAGACTAATGTATGTTTTGAGGTTCCAAAAATTTAAAATATACAAGCCTTATATATGAATAATGGTAATCTACTTAACCCAGTAGAAATGTGCTTGGTCAGTTTGACCACACATGTAACCATGAAATTCTACATAATATAACTGAATGTATTACACATCTTTATGAAATTTGGCAAGCATTTATTAACCCTTTTGCAATGGGTACCCTATTAACTCTCTACATGGACTGGGTTGAACTGACACTTAACCCTACTTTTTTATACTAATGGTAGTAATGCACTAAATTTTTATTTGATTAAATAATGCAGCAAAAAACATACAGTAATAATATGCAAAAATAGAAAATGTACTATAATTATAACAATTTTTCTGGTTTACTAACTATGTGACAAGAGCCGTTACAAATTCATCCAAGCTAGTCAGTATGTATCCTGTGGGAACAAAGCTTGTACTAAAAAAGAAATTGACAATTATCTTTTCATAAAACAATGTAGTATAATACATCATTTGATAGATGAAAACCTTGGCTTTTTATTGGTTAAAAATAATATAGCATTAAATGTAAGAGAACTATTAACAAATCCTGAAAGAGAGGATGCAGTGGGTGGGTGTGCCAAGAGGGTTATGGTTTTCTATATGTATATTTTTCCATATACTTCATGATATTATGAGCTGAAGGAAAATTTAGCAGAAAGGTTGCACATGTTTCCCAAAGAAACTAGTATGCCTCAAGGGTACTGTTGATTTATCCAGATGAATAATAATTAAAGATTGACTATATATGAAAGGGAAAAGACCAGAAATTTCAAATAAAAACAAAACAATAACTTTGAGAACATTCTACAAAAAAATTAAAAGTTTTTTTTTTATATATATCCTAATTTTCATTATTTCATTGCATTGTACATTGATGATAATAGCTAGAGTAAGTTAATTACCTTAAAAAAAACTTGAAATTCATTTAGGAGGGTCTAGAGATTATGCAAAAGAAATATGAAAATTATAAGATGAAGAAAAGTTATTCTAGTGCAAGGTATTTTCATTTTAAGTATAAGAATATTTTAACAGTCTGAGTGCAGATATCTAATATAATAACATTATTATTATATCTATAATAATAGATATAATATTATTATATCTATTAATAATAGATTTATTATTAACCTGTGTTTTCAAAGGTTAATGAAAAAAACATAAAACATAAAAAACATGCTTTTTTATTGTACTTTGAACCACATTCAGTAGTGTGACAACCAATATATTACCCAGTAGGAGGGTGCAGAGTTTAAGTTAAATAAGAGTATCAGGTTATATGGCACAATGTCAAGGCATGCATGTCACATGGTTCACTGAGAAGGCATCATGAGAAATCCTTTTATTTATTTTTATTTAATGCCATGTGAATGATGGTGATGCATTACCCCACCTCCAATTCTGTGAAGTATACATAGCAATATTTAATATCATTCAATTCTGAATTTACAATGTGTATTATCACAAAATTTGGTAAACATTTCGTAACTATTACAAGTTTGTTGTTTACAAAAAAATGTTAAAGTAAAGTATTTCTAATAGATAATTTTTTGTGAGTTTACTGAATCTTACACAGACTGATTAATCTGTGTGCAAGGTTATTTTAATTTTAAAACAAAAATACTGTTTTCATATTTCATTTACATAACCTCTAGAATCTCCTAAATGAATGTCATTTATTTTCTCTGTAAAACTTTATACTTTATCACTTATTTTTTCTACTCTAACCCTAACTTTAGTAAACTCATCTGTAAAGAAAATTGAAAAATGTGAATTTTTTTTTTTCCTTCCTCAGAAAGACTGCAGATTCTTAAGGCAATTAGTCATTTATCTTTAGAGCTTTAACTATAAATAAAATATATAAGTAGATTTCTTTTTTTAACTTAGCTCTTGGCCACTTTTCAGTCAAGTTTCTGCTTTCCTAAACCTTCGTCTTTAAAGTGTGTTGGTTGTCCAAAAATAATTCCTACATTTTTCATTCATGAATTTTAGAAAATCCAAAACATATCACCCACTGGATTAGATTGTATGAAAACTACTGTAACTTAGTTAGCATTCTAACTAATCTATAAGTAGGTTAAAATTTCATTACTTCTCAGATCATCTTTTTGTATGAACCCATCAAACTCTGTAAGCACAACATTGAGTTACCAGCCCTCTCAGTCAGATTACAACTTGTTGTGCTTATGATACTTGTTTGTGCTGTCAAGTACTTTTTGTTATTTATCTTATCTAGCCTAATAAGTTTATAATTTTTGCATTTTACTTAATTTAATAACAGTAAGTATAAAATATACATAAAAACAAGAAATTTAGTACTTGCATATGTGTCTTGTACTTTTTGCTCTCAAGGTTTGTACTTTAATTCTAAATTGCATATTTAAAATACATATAAATTAAGTAAAGAAATAATGTATAACAAAAGAACAATGCAGTAAATCTATTATAAGTTAACCCTATGGATGAGTGTCAAAGTGCACATACCATGACCTTTTACAGGGTGGTATTCAAAATGGTAGTATGTATTGGATGTCAAGAGTTAAAAACTATTCATTTTATCTTACACTGCTGATTTAGCAACAGTTCATGGTAGAAGAGAGTAAATACCAGATACAATATACAGTATTACTGAAAATTTTGTATCTGTGCATTTTAGAAGCTCTAGAAATGCAATAAGCAAACAATACAATAGACAAAAGTATATTTTTATTTTTCACATAAGCATCTCCCTGCACTCCACTTTGCCAGTCAGACTGATATCATCAATTCACAGATATATCTTGAGTACAAATACTTTTGTAACACATCTGATATTTTGTGTACAACAGACTTGTACATTTTACTAAAAGCTTGCCATATTTCTTTTAGATATGTATAATAAATTCAAAATTATAGTCAACATTCCTTCAATACAAAGTCAGTCCATGGGACTTGAACTCATGCATATTCAGTTGACTGGCTTTCTTAACTAAGTTCAAATAATTTCTGTAGTTTTATTGAGACAATCTTGGTGATAGCAATCTATGAAATTGATGCAAAATAACTGAAAACTGATCATGAGAACAACCCAACCTTTTAAGGAACGCAGTAAATTAAAATCTTCTCTTCCTATTGATTATCAGTACTCCAGTATTAAGTGTTGGAGAGAATTACTCACTTTTTTTTTAAATACAATATGTTCTACGAAAGGCATGGCATATGAGTTTCAGTTTATGACATGTAACTCGTCAAAGCAAGAAGAACAGATACTATAAGTTTTCATTTTAGCTTGGGGATATCTAAGGTATAAGAGTGTAAGTCCTCATAAACTTCAAAAATAACATAGGGTGGAGAGAAATTCTAAAATGGGCAATTTGGACTAATTGAAGTGTTGCATGATGCACGAAAGTGATGATTGAGAATTTATTTAAATATTTCCTTTTGAAATTAAGATATTAAAATTTGAATTAGAAATTTTGGTTTGATGTCAGGTTTATTGATATACACTGATAATAAAGCAGTGTAAATAAATTATGAATGTAACTTGCTAAAAAAGGACATGACATGTACTTTGACATGCACATATTTAGAGGGTTAGAAATTTCCATTATTGCTCAAAGCAATGGCTTTTCTCTAAATACATTGAGCTTTCCATGCTAATTGTTGTCTTTGACCACACAAAATGACAATCATCTGATTTTTCTAGTTCAGAATATTCTTTTTCTATTGGTTATAGATATGTCCAATAGCAATATCAAAGAGAATTATAGACACTTTTAAAAGACAGGACATGGGAGGGGCATGCCATGTAGGTTGAACAAATAGTGATATTTCAGTAGAAGATAAGAGAGTGAAATCTTCTATCAATACCTATCATGTATGTTTGTGTAGTTGAACAATATGAAGCCTTCATAATGTAAGAGAAAAAATTTACAAATGAGGAGTCAGAGTGCCACTGTGTCAAGTGGCTTGGAAGATTGAGAACTTATTTATTTTTGCTTTTGAAATTAAAAATAAGAGAATCTAAAAATTTTAGTTATAAACTATGTTTTAATTTCAAGTTTATTAACATGCATTGATGATATAGTAGTAGTACAATTAAATTTTGAATGTAACTGTAGAAAGTTTGTGATGTTTGCACATTGACTCTCTCATTTCCACAGTGTTAACACTCTGTATTGAAAAAGAAATACATGGATTATAATAAATAAAATTAATACTACAAAAACTTTTACTAAATTCGTATCTGGAAAAAAAAAAGTTCTTGACAACTTACTGAAATCTATTAAAAATAGACTATACCTGTTGATTATAAAATATTTAAATTTACTTGTACACAATTCTTGAATTGCATAATTCCAGTTAAGCTCATATGTGTTACTAATTCATTAAATACTATTACAAAATCTGTAGCTATCTTGTTAAATATAATCTTAGATTTTCTACATTCTAAAATAAAATTAAAATCCCTTAACATTTTGATAACAAAAAAACAATACACAATTATTGGAATGCTTAGAATCTTTAAATTTTCAAATTCAGCTTTCTCTGTTTTGATATATGATATCACTACTTATATACCAAATTGAATTTAAAAGATATAGTAGTCTTCTATAGTTTAATAGATGAATTTATAGATGAATATATTATTTATAAATATACACTTTCAAGTATTCAGTGTATAAAATA